ATATTTGGAGAAAAAAAATTTCTAAAATTTTAAAAATTTATTCTTGATTTTTTTCTTGACCCAATGGCTGTGTATTTGCAGTTTTCAAAGTTCTTCTTTTTGTTAATTTCTAGCTTTAATTCACTGTAGTCTGAGAAGATAGTTTGTATAAATTTGATTTCTGAAAATTTGTTGGACTCATTCTGTGGCCAAACATATGACCTGAAGAATGTTTCATGTGCCAAGAAGAAGAATGTATATTCTCTAGCTGTTGAATAAAATGTTCTGTGGGTATCTGTTAAGTCTATTGGAACTAAAGTGAAATTTAAGTTCACGTTAGATGTAATGTTTCTTTGTTAATTTTCTGTCTAGAAGATCTGTCTAGTGTTGATTGGGGTTGAAGTTCCCAACTATTATTGCATTGAAATCTATCTCTCTCTTTGGATCTAATAATGTTTCTTTATACATCTGGGGGCTTCAGTGTTGGGTGCATATATATTTAGAATCATTATATTCTCTTGCTGAATCTTCCCCTTTATCATTATCTAATGACCGTCTTTGTCTCTTTTTGCTATTTTGACATAGAGTCTCTTTTATGTGACATAAGTATAGTAACTCCTGCTCACTTTTCGTTTCTATCTGCACAAAATTTTTTTTAATTCCTTCACTTTCAACCTATATGTGTCTTTACAGGTGAAATGATTTTCTTGTAGGCAGCATAGAATTGGATCATGTTTCTGGACCCCTTTAGCCAGTCTATATTTTATAAGTGAATAATTTAATCTGTTTACATTCAAGATTATTATTGGTAAGTAAAGGGTTATTCCTGCAGTTTTGGTCAATTGTTTTCTGGTTGTTTTGTATATCCTTTGTTTCTTTCTTTTCTGTTTTATTATTTTGTCACTGTAGTTTGGTAGTTTTCTGGAGTGGTAACATGAGTCCTTTCTCCTTCTTATTTGTGTGTTTGCTCTACCAGTGAGTTTTATACTTATGTGTGTTTTCATAATGGTAGATATCAACCATTCACTTCCAAGTGTAGGGCTGCTTTAAGCATTTCATTTCTTTCTTTCTTTTTTTTTAGATGGAGTCTTTCTCTGCCACCCAGGCTGGAGTGCAGTGGCACAATCTCAGCTCACTGCAACCTCCATCTCCCAGGTTCAAGCAATTCTCCTGCCTTAGCCTCAGATGGGATTACAGGCACATGCCACCATGCCCAGCTAATTTCTTTTTGTATTTTTAGTAGAGACAGGGTTTCACCATGTTAGCCAGGATGGTCTCGATCTCCTGACTTCATGATCCACCTGCCTTGGCTTCCCAAAGTGCGGGAATTACAGGTGTGTAATTCCACTCTGATGAGGTGGTCCCTTATATATAACTAGATGCTTTTCTCTTACTGTTTTTAGAATTCTCTGTTTGTCTTTGACTTTTAGCAGTTTGACTGTAATGTGCCATGGGTGAGATCTTTTTGGGTTGTATCTATTTAGAAATCTCTGAGCTTTCTTATCTAGATGTCTAAATATATTGCTCAACTTGGAAAGTTTTCATTTGATATTAGGTTAAATAGGTTTTCTGTATCTTTGCCTTTTTCTTTGCCTTGTGGGACACAGAAAATTCAAATATCTGGTCACTTTATAGTATACCACATGTTACACAGGGTTCATTCATTTTTTCTTTTCTTTCTTCTTTTTCCTTCCTCTCTTTCTTTCCTTCTCTCAATCGTTCTCTCTCCCTTCTTTCCTTCCTTCCCTCCTTCCCTCCTTCCTTCCTTCCTTCTTTCTTTCCTTCCTTTCTTTCCTTCTTTCTATCTTTTCTTCTTTCTTGGTTATTTCAAAAAACCTGTCTTCAGGTTCTGGAATTCTTCTGCTTTATCTAGTCTGTTGTTGAAGTTCTCAAATGTTCACATGACTTTTTATTTCATTCACTGAGTTCTTCAGTTCCAGGATTTCTGATGGATTGTTTTTGACGGTATCTATCTCTTTGGTTCTTTCCAACCTGTTGCTAGAAAATTTTTGTGCTCCTTTGAAAGTGTCATATATCCTGGCTTTTTCATATTTCTTGTGGCCTTACATTGATATCTATGCATCTGGTATAACAGTCACTTCTTTTTCCAGTTTTTTGGATTGGCTTTTGTAGAAGACTTTCCTGAAGATGTATTTATGGTGTTAGTTTGGTAGGGCACTTTAGCTTTGATTCTAGATACATGCAGTAGTATAATCTCTATATAATTTCTCTGACTGTAAACAGTATCTCTGGTATCTGTGATTTCCTCAGTGGCTTAGGCTGTAGTTGTTAGTTAAGGCTGTGTTGAAGTTTTGCTCTGGATGAGGACACTATACGGGTCACTCCTTAGGCCCCAGTGGTGGCAGTGACAGACCAAGCATGCCTGTCCTTGGGCCCCCAGGTGATATACATGGGCACAAATGTTAGCAGGTTCAAGCAGGCAGATTCTTGGGCCTCCAGGTGGCTTTCTCAGGTTTTAGTAGTAGCAGTGAACAGGTGGTTCTTCATGTCCCTGGACAGCATATGTGGCATGGGCAATGAAAGTAGTTGTGATGGGTTCCATGCAGCATACACTGGTATTAGTGGCAGCTCTGATGGGCTAGGCAAGACAGTCCCTGGGCCCGCAGGTGGCATGTGCAGATAGGTGCTAGCTGTGGTGTCAGCAGCAGGCTGAGCGAGCCTGTATTCTGGCCCCCAGAGGGAGTTCACAGATGCTAGCAGTAATGGGTGAGGTGAGGTAATCCCTAGGCCCTGGGGCAGCATGCTGAGGCACTAGAACATGGTGCCAGGCTGGGTGCACCTGTATTTAGTCTCCTTGGTGGTGTGCATGGGAGTAGCCTATGGTGGGCAGGATGGGGTGATCCCCAGGCCCTCAAGTTAAGTGCTCAAGTGGTAGCAGTAGCATTGGTGATGAGAGAGCCTATCCTCAGGGCACATGCATGTTAGCATGGGTGAGATTGCTGTCAGTGGCAGCAGCTGCTGGCAGGCAGCTCTCAGGCTCTGGAGGGCTCATACTTTGGCCTTCTATGCTGGTGGCAGCAGCAGTAGTGGGAAAAGCCAGTTCTAAGGGCACATGCAAGTGCGCTATGGTCCTCCTGCTGGGAAGGTGGGATTGCTTCCAGCAGTGAGCACTTCAGTTCCCAGAAGCGGCAGTAGTGGCAATGGCAGCTGGGGAGATCCTAGCCTCAGGGCAGATGCAAGTGCGGTTTCAGCCCAGCTACTGATTGGAGTGGGGTAGCCGTCAATGGCAGCAGTCCCCAGAAGGCAGGTTTCAGGCTCTGGTGAGTGCACGTTTTGGTTCCCTTTTTCCTGGGGGCAGCCTCCCTAGTGAGCTGCTGCACTGCCCATGTGTATGCTAGAGTGCTGAGGGCTTCGCCATTCAGCTGGGTTCAACTGATATCACACCACGCAGCCTACTGGGTGGATGCAGAAGCATGTCAGTGGGGGATCAGCAATGTGGAGATGCAGGGGCTGTTGGGCTCCAGGGCAGGATGCAGTCTGGTGGGAATTGAAGTCTGCATATGGCATCTTGCTGCAGCTGCTTAGGACATGGAGATGTGTGGGACCGAGCGTGATCTCCCTTTTTGGAGCAATGCTGTCATGTGGTCTCCAGGCAGCTCCCTATTATAGTCTCGGGGCCTGCAAGAGTTGAAGGGCTCTCCTGGGGCTAGGGTTGCAGTAGTCTGCAGTGAGAGTATGGGCCTCTGGGGATCTCTAACTTGCTCTTTTCTTGCACTGAGGAGGCTCTCTAGGCTCCCAGCTGTTCCTGGCCAAGCTGGCTGCTTTCAAAATTTAAAAAATACAATACATATCACGACACACACACTATAATGGCTATAATTCAAAAGACAAGTTTTGGTAAGGATGCGGAGAAACTAGAACCCTGATAACATTGCTTGTATGAACAGAAAATAGCACAGCCACTTTGGAAAACAACTTAGCCGTTTCTTAAAAAGTGAAACTTCACATAAAATTCAACAATTCTACTACCAGGAATTTACCCAAGAGAAAGAAAACATATGTCCCCACAAAGACATTTATACAAAAGTTCATGGCATTATTCATAATAGCTCCAAACTGAAAAAAACTCAACTGCCTATCAATTGGTAAATAAACAAAATGTCAAATATTCATATAATGGAACATTACTCAGCCATAAAAAGAATTATCTTCTAATATATGCCATAGAATGAAATCTGCAAATCATTATGCTTAGTGAAAGAAGCCAAATTCAAAAGAGTACATACTATATGTCTCCATTTATATGAAATGTCCAGAATGGACAAACCTATTAAAACAGAAAATTAGATAAGTAGTTGCTTATTACCTCAGAGGGTGGGGAAACTGGAGGAAAATGGAGAGTAACTGCGAATGCATGAACAATTTCTTTTGGGGATGATAAATATGCACTAAAATGGATCGTGGAGATTGCTGCACAACTCTATGAGCATATTGAAAACCACTAAATTATATACTTCAAATGGATCAACACTATGGCATGTGAATCATATCTTAATAAAGCTGTTTTTAATTCAGAAATGAAACATGCAATAGAAAATGGGAAGCTAAGCTTTAGGAAAGCTAAGAAGAAGAAACAGAACAGAACAGGAAGAAGGTCAGGAGTGAGACAAGGAAGCTGGGCATTATATATTGGACTCTAGTGAGCAGAGGCAAGGTCTGGAGTTGATGGAGTGAATGACTGAGGGGTTCATTCCTGAGTCTACCTAGACCTGAGTGCTTAACAAATATTGGAAGATAATGCTTGATAGCATCCTTAGGGGGTGGAAGAAACAGCATCAATACTCACCAGTATATATACACCTGGGTTTTCTGGATTTATATGATCGCATGGAGAGAGGGAGGGATCCCTAATGATTAAGGAAATTAAATGTCCCATTATTGATGAGAGTGGGATCTCAGTGTGTATTAAATTTAAGGCAAATGAATACTGCAAGGAAATTGGCTGAAGTGGGCTTGATGATTATCTCATTGGTATTCATTCTTTCTTCCCCTTTGTGTAGTGACCATGAAGTCTGGGGAGATTATCTTCAAGGACATGCCCTGAAGAGGATCAGTTACTCAAAGTAAACCCATTTCCTTTGCCACAGTACAGACCTACCTCCCATAAAATGTCCTGTTTTTTGCTATAGTGGTTCTTGAAAAGTCATGTCATTTTCAGACAATTCATTTTTTCCATGTGAGGCCTTTCCTGTTTACTCCAAAACACATTAAATAAAAAAAAGAAGTAATCAAAATAATAAATGATAAAAAATCCTGTTTACTCCAAAACACATTAAATAAAAAAAGAAGTAAAATAATAAATGACAATTTTTTGGAGTAAACAGGAAAAGCCTCACATGGAAAATAATTATGTAAAAATATTATGTAAAAACAATAAATATTATTTTTTACATTGACATATTCAGTTTACTCAAAGACATGTTCAATTTACTCAACACAACATTTTCTAGTCAGACAATTTCACATGAATCTAATTTGCATCTTGAGCAATATCTAGCAAAAACAAAACAACTGACTTTGCTTATGTATGCCAAATAAGAGGGATGGAGGTTTGCAGCTTTAACAATGCTTAGTCTGTTGTGAACCTACACTTTTTCCATGTGTTTCTAAGTTTTCATTTTCTTAGCTTTTATTTTATCCTAAAAGTATTTTTGTGTGCTATAATTTTTCAGTGTAGTTTAAGTGCAAGATCACCAGAGTCCCAAAAGGTTTAACAAGTGATGAAGAAAATGGCACAAAAATAAGACTAAGAATAAATCGGTAAACCCTTAGCATATTCTATTTTATGCCTAAACTTGAATTTTTGCTTTCAAATTATTGGATTTTTAAAAATTATGTAAACTTCTTTGCATCGTTTAATTGTTATATAAAATCATCAGGTACCTTGAGTTGGGACTAAATGCCTCACAATTTTTCTTTTAAAATGAAAAAATATTTTTTTCACTTAGCAACAGAGGTTCCAGGAAGGAATTGGACATTAAACAAGGAATAAGTGTTTTAAGTTACTCAGGACTAAGTTAATCAAAGCATGACATTCCTCTTATAGGATTTGGTTCAGTGGTTGCCCACTGGGAACCATATGAGTCAGAAAACTCATATGATGGTTAGGGAAGGGACTGGCTCCTTCTCTTCTTGATTGTGGACATAAAGTATGCAGCTCTATGGGTACTGGTACCATTTTGTGACCATGTCAGGGAGATAGATAGCTTTGGATTGAAGCCAATATGACAGGCAGAATGAAAAGGCAGAAATAATCTATGGCTTTGAGGATGTGATTTACCTACCAAATTAAACTAAACAGAAAAATCATCATATTTCTCGAGTTTCTAGTTATGTGTCTGCTGTTTACAGCAAACTGATCTGAATTTTTTAATACATTTCAATAAAGAGTGTCATAAATTATGTTTTTGGTTTCCAGAAGTATGACGGAATACATGTGCAGAGAAATCCTTCCAGGAATAAGAAAAATAATACGAAGTAAATATTCAATTTTGTTTTTTGGAACATTGCTGAACTGGAAGTAAAGAACTGGAACTAGAGGAAACAAACAATGAGAAAGTATAATTCCATGAGGATTAGCTGAGTCCTAGAGCTTGCCTTATCCTTGAGAATATCTGCCAATTGTTATAGCCTGCAGTCTGGATGTTAATTGGCATATGTTTGAAGAACAGAAGTGAAAACCAAGTGCCGGAGTACAGTAGAGAAGGTAGGATCAGAGCATGAAGTTAGGACCCTTCAAAGCGCTACACTCACAGTGGGTGAACAAGAGGCAAATGTGACCCACAGCAGGAAAGATGTTCCTTCTCTTTGCATGGAGCAAAAATAAAGGAAAAAAGTTCCCCCTGAGGTGTCTTAACCACCAGCCATGTTCCCATCATTTTACCACTGAAATTAATAATGCCTAAAAAAATTTAACTAGAAATTTAATTTGAAAGTTGGTAATACCCCAGGTACTATTGTTATGAAGATATGTATTTTATTTGCAGGTCTCAAATAAAATATTATGAAGTTACAATAAAAATAATTAACATACATGCAAAGAAGCCACCATGAATCAAAAATTTAGTATAAATAGTAGTTGTAGAAGCATCTGTACATTAATAAAAATACAACACTTCAAAACTTTTGGAACAGAGCCAGTAGTTTTTAAAGGGAAATTGAAAGCCTAAAATGTTTGTATTAGAAAAACCTTGATCACCTAAGCATTTATCTTAAGACATTACAAAAAGAATAGCAAAAGTCAGTCATTCTTCCCTTCATTCAATGATGATACATGCTGAGAAATGCATTGCTAGGCAATTTTGTCATTTTTGTGACCGTCATAAAGTGTACTTAATAAGCCTGGATAGTATAGCACATTGTACAGATAGGCTATATGGGATAGCCTAGTGCTCGGAGGCTTCAAACCTGAACAGCATGTTGCTGTACTCAGTTTTGTAGGCAGTCGTAACACAACACCATTTGTATATCTATACATATCTAAATATATAATAGGTAAAGTAAAAATGATGTATAAAATATTTTAAAATGGTACACCTGTTTAGGTACCTCTTTACAAATAGAGATTGCAGGACTGGAAGTTTCTCCGGGGGAGTCAATGAATGAGTGGTAAGTGAATGTGAAGGCCTAGGACATTACTGTATACTACTTTATAAACACTGTATACTTACGCTACACCAAATTTATTTTAAAATATTTTTCTTCTTCAATAATAAATGAATCTTAGCTTACTGTGACTTTTTTACTTTATACATTAAAAAAATTTTTTTTTATTTTTTACTCTTTTGTAATAACACTTAGCTTAAAACACAAACACATTGCACAGTTGTACAAACTTTTTTTTCCACAGTTTTATTCTATAAGCTTTTTTCTATTCAAACTTTTTTTGGTTTACTTTTGTAACTTTTTTGTTAAAACCTAAGACACAAACATATTAGTCTCGGCCTATACAGGGTCAGGATGATCAATATCACTGTCTTCCACATCCACATCTTGTCCCATTGGAGGGTCTTCAGAACAATAACATACATAGAACTGTCATCTCCTGTGGTAACAATGCCTTCTGGAACACCTTCTGAAGCACCTACCAGAGACTGATTTACACTTAACTTTTTTTCATAAGTAGAAAGAATATGTTCTAAAATAGTAATAAAAAGTGCCATATAGTAAATATATAAACCAGTACTATAGTCCTTTATCATCAAGTAGTATGTACTATACATAATTGGATGTGCTGTACTTGTACGTGATTGGCAACAAAGTGGTTTACACCAGTATCACCGCAAACAAACGTGTGAGCAATGTGTTATGTTACAATGCTAAGAAGTCACTGAGTGATTGTTCAGCTCTATTACATTATGAAGGGCATCATATATGCACTCTGTTGTTGACTAAAATGTCATTATGTAGCGCACAACTGTAAACCCAGAAACTGTAGGAGTAAGAAGTAATAAAATAATAAAGACAAGAACAGAAAAACATAAAGTAAAAAACTTCATACTTTTATATCAACAAAACCAAAAATGGTTCTTTGAAAAACTAATGATATTGAGACACCTCAGGCAAGATGGATTAAGGAAACAAAAGAGACAGCACAAAAGATTGGGAATGAATGAGAAGGTATAACTACAGAGATCAAAATGACAAGAAAATATAAGTAAATTTAATGTTAACACATTTGAAAAATTAAGTGAAATGAACAAAATACTTATAAAAGTTACTGAAACTGACTCAAAATTGGTCAAGAAATAAGATTTTTGTAGTACATAATGCTCCCTTGAAGAAAACAGCAGATCCACACAGTTTTACAGGAGAGTTCAAAGAAACATTCAAGGAAAGTTAATTCCAAACCTGAAATTCCAGTTAACAGAATAAAAGAGAAGGTTTTTCAATTCAGTTTATGTATTTAATTTCTTTTGTTATCAAAAGTAAAGAGAATAAAAGAAAGGGGAAAAACAGGCCAATCTTATTAATGCAAGGACAAAAAATTCTAAAAAAGGAAAAGTATAAATTGAACTCAGCAATGTATAAAAAGATGATATATAATTACCAAGTTTAATATACTCTAGAAATGCAATTTTAACATAATGAACATTAAATCTAACATTATAAAATCTATTAAGTAATGTATCACATTAATATGCTAAAAAGAAAATATTATTTTAATAGGTATAGAATATACAGTTGATAACATTTAATAATCATTTTTGATACAAAATCCCAGTGGACAAGTCATAAAAAGGAATTTTTTTAACCTGAAACAGTTATGTATGGAAATTTTATAGCAAACATTGTAATCAATGGCGAATCATTATAATCATTCACTATGCAACTATTGCTATTCAACATTGGATTAAATATCATAGCCAGTGCAATAAGAAAAAAAAAGAAACAGAAATGCTGTAAAGATTAGAAAGTAAATTATTATTAATCAGAGATAACATGGTTTTCTGCAAAATAGGAAACCGGAAGGAATTCTGCCAGAATTGTTATTACTAATCATTTGGGGGAATAATGCAATAAATTTATTAAGGTTCTGTCAAAGTTACCAGTTATGAGATTAATAACTAAAAGTCAGTGGCATTTTTATATGCCAGCAACAAACAGCAGAAAAGAAAAATTTTAAAGCATAGTATTTACAATAGTAAAAAAAAAAGTACCCAACAAGATTCTAACAGAAAGTATGTGAAGACGTTTTGTTTGTTTGGTTGGTGTTTGTTTGCGTCATCTTGAGTTTGTTCCTTAAGACAAATCAAACAGAAACAGAGGCTGTCATTTTAGTGGGGTTTCTAAAGGGAGCAGAGATAAAATGGATATTTTAAAAACAGACGTGCATCCGATCCTTTTTTTTTTCAGTCCCACCTGTATCCTACTTCTAGAATAATTGGTGTCAAGAACCCTGAAGCTTTGCAGATTCTGCAATGGCAATTAGTGTGCTTCTAAATTTTTCTCACTGATGGATTTATTCCGATTTCATGGATCTGCTAAATCATTTACCACACAACCATCCACCATTCAGATTCCACCACCTTCTCCCCTCTTGTCCCTTTGCCCTGGAGCATTTTGACTTCCCCCACCATTCTCTCTTCCCCTCAATCCCTTGACAGTTGTTTGAGAGTTTCTGGGAGAATGCAGAGTTGAGTATATGTGTTTAATTCTCCATTTTTACCACAGGAGAAATTTTACTAACTTTCTATAAACATATCTCTGAGAGAAATCAGGTATTCACTTGGAAACCAGGTTAATCAAGTATTTATTTGGTCATGGAAGACAGACCATGCTCTTTTTTCCCAGCAGGGCTGATTGTTCCTGAAATCTCTAACCAGTGAACAGCAATCACATTAATTGGCTTAGCCTATATGCCAAGTTTATTTAACCTGGGTTGAGGGTATTACCAGTGGCTGAGTCAGGGTCAAGTATAACAAATGGTTCCAGGGGGATACCAAAATGTTGCTCTTTGGGGCCTGTTGAAATACAGCTTTCCTCTCAAGTGTAGGGTGAGAAGAATCTAAGGCACCCTACCAGCTCCTCCAAAAAGCAGAACTTTGATGGTTTTGTGAGGCCTAAATAAACAAGGCATGACAGCCTTGATTTATGTCTTTCCCTCTTCTCCTGACTGAGAAGAAAAGACATACAGTAATGTAAATGACATGCCTTTTAGACTTCCCCTTTTGCAACTGATGTTTAATATGCACTGGTTGCTACTGCTGCGCTCTCTCAGGTTTTTCTTATTACGCACGTACCTCAAGGTGATCGTTCACAACTGACATAGTTTTAGAAATACTTTTTAATTATAATTTTAAAAGATAATAGTTATAAGAACTTTACTAATTTAGGCTGTGGATTCTTATCTATAGCTGAACAAAATTACACTCTAATTTCCTTCAAAACTTGTAATTTAGCACAGAATCAAATCTTTCCTTTCATCTTCAGATCTTCTGCCTAGTTTCCAAATCCCTAGAGATCAATCTAATCCTCTAAGAGTCTCTTCCTTTTAACTCTTTCCTTCTAGGGATCTCAGATTATGAACCCTTTTTTCAAAACCTATCATCGAGGGACCGGCATCAAATCTAGGACAACATTTACAATGTTGAACAATTGATCGAATGACCACTGACTTAGGAGATTTTCTTTCTATATTCATCACAGGTGCCCTGTATCCTTGGAAAACACCTTACCCCCAGCTTTTCTCCCCTTTGTAAATGAAAATGACAGTATTCGTAAGCAGTGTCTTTATGCAAGGGAAGCGTGTATAGAAAGAAAAAAATATAAAGATACCAGTTTGTACTATCGTTCCCAGTTTTCTGTGGTTAGTACTGAAATATTATGAAAAAGGGAATAAAATAAAAGTGAAAGGGGAAGCAAGAAAAAGAATTATATACAAGAATATAAAAGGATAACTTTAGAGGGAAATGTAGTCCTAGACTTCTTCAAGAAGCTTCTACCCAAATAACAGATGTAGGAAAAATCATCATGAACCATATATAAGAAGCTTAACAGAAAAACAAAGCAGTAAATAAAAATAAAAGGAAGACATTGTTATCTCAGTTGGAGAAAATGGGAAGTTAGAAGTTTATTAAGGCTTTAAAAGATATTTTTTAACGTTCAGAAAAGAAATGTCATGCTGCTGCATTTATGCCTTAAAAAATCATCTGCTTGGCATTTGAAAAATTGAACCTGCGCTTGTTTCAAACATTATATCCCCCT